TATATATATTAAAGGAATAAACTGGTTTTAACTTCTTATTATGTTATCAGAGAGTAAATAAAACAGGTTTTTTAATTATACAAACGAATTGGTAATTGGTAACACATAACTTTATAATTTAAGGTTATCCATTCTTTCTTCACTGTTTTAATTTTGGTTGAAGAACCCAAGACAAGGATGAACCACGAATTCATATATTTGCTTAATAATAAGCAATTTAAATAACGGAAAAGTTATTATAATTTGTATAATATTAAATTTAAGAAACGTCAAAAACATCAAAGATAAAGCAACAGCTCTATATTAAAGATGAGAGTCATTGAAAGGGCGAAGCAAATATTGAGCAAGAAAAACTGCTTTTAGGTAATTTGGAAATATCAAAAAAAAAAAAAACGATCAATATGCAACATTGAATTAAAAATCATTTCAGGATACAAATATTCAAAATTCTGATATTCCTTGGATACAAAGGCTAATCTGACATGATGACCTAAGGATATGACAATGCGAACAAATTCAGAGGGTTTAGTGGCTCTGAATTTTATTAAACTGCATTGTTCTCAAGAGACTGCTAAAGTCTCTCATTTGTCTGAAGCCTCTAACTTGTGAGTAATGTGGATAAATTCTGCAAAGAAAAGAGCTTACAAGTTCGTAGAAGGAGGATCTTATTATTAAATCTGACACCTAAGCTCAATATGCTAGATTTAATATTGTTCTAGAGACTTGTACATTTTCAAGTTTGATTACTTCAAAATTTTCTTTCTTTTTGCATGGCCTTAGTATTGATATTATTATTACTTGGGTGATGCAATCTACATTTATTTAATCCAGAAAACATTAAAACCAAGCCACTATATATATGTAGAATATAAACATATGCATGCGCCAACATTTGTTGTAGTACAGATTTATTATATACTTTCAGAACGTTACACGTAATATGATTTTCAAGAAAAAATTTCAATAGGGATTGGAGAGATTGGAATTCTACCGAAAAATTTTAAAAGCATCTTTAAGCATTGTGATTGATGTTCTGTCTATTATAACTCTAAAATTAGCTTTATTCTTCAAAAAGATTGCAGTGATCATTTTTTTAAAAAAAAACGATTTTCAAAAAGAAAAAATACCAACAATTTGGGCCTTTAAACTGCTTGTACTACATGACAAGACTTTAACTTTGTTGGTTGATAGAAAGTCACTAGCTTTGGTGTAAGAGGGAATTTCTCAAAAAAATATTTGTTGTAATTCTATTAGTATTAGTATTGGTATTAGGTATATACTCTCCACGAAAATAATATGAAAATCATTTCTAAATTTGGACAACCCGCGAAGTCGCTATTATTTTTTGTTATTTCAATTGAAGTTTGCAAATGCTGAACGACAAATTATTAAAAACGATTCTTTATTTTTATTTTTTAAAGTTTAGAGTGTGTAAATCGTGTAAAAGCACATCACACGTTAAGATCCAAAATCATTTTTTTCTCGATAAAATTCGATTCAACCGAAATCTCAACCAAATGAACCCAACCCTGAATTCAGCTCACATACAAAAAGTATCTTAATTTATATTTTAAGATAGACTTTTTATTTTTTTAGTATTTATTTGCCTTGAAGGTGCACATTAGATTGAATAAAGAAATATTAGAACCAACAACCATTTATTAATAATATGCTTCACCACATCAAGGAATTAGACAATACAAATCTTTCTTTAAAAACCCAATTTTATGTAAAGAAAGTAATAAAATGTGGAAGCGAAGTAGGGTTAATATTATGTTGTATATGAGACATAAAGCTCGTAGATTGGCTTCAACGAAAATAAAATGACTGATCTCTCACAACAAACCGCAGATAAATTTCCAGTTGACTTTTTTTTTATTTTAAATTAGGTGCATTAAATGAAAAGCTTGTATTGAACTTCATACCTTGACATTTATACTACCCAATGTGTTATTTAATCCAGAATAAGTAACATTTCTTTTTTGTCTAATGATTGAACGTTAAAATTTTGTTCGCTGTTGTGCGTGAAAATGAAATTTATATGAATTTGCAATTCACATACGTGAAATTCAAATTAGCCAATCAGAATTTCGTATCCAAACACTAATCTTATAGATTTCAATTTCGCCATCGACTATCTTTATGCTTGGTTGATAGAAAGTCACTAGCTTTGGTGTAAGAGGGAATTTCTCAAAAAAATATTTGTTGTAATTCTATTAGTATTAGTATTGGTATTAGGTATATACTCTCCACGAAAATAATATGAAAATCATTTCTAAATTTGGACAACCCGCGAAGTCGCTATTATTTTTTGTTATTTCAATTGAAGTTTGCAAATGCTGAACGACAAATTATTAAAAACGATTCTTTATTTTTATTTTTTAAAGTTTAGAGTGTGTAAATCGTGTAAAAGCACATCACACGTTAAGATCCAAAATCATTTTTTTCTCGATAAAATTCGATTCAACCGAAATCTCAACCAAATGAACCCAACCCTGAATTCAGCTCACATACAAAAAGTATCTTAATTTATATTTTAAGATAGACTTTTTATTTTTTTAGTATTTATTTGCCTTGAAGGTGCACATTAGATTGAATAAAGAAATATTAGAACCAACAACCATTTATTAATAATATGCTTCACCACATCAAGGAATTAGACAATACAAATCTTTCTTTAAAAACCCAATTTTATGTAAAGAAAGTAATAAAATGTGGAAGCGAAGTAGGGTTAATATTATGTTGTATATGAGACATAAAGCTCGTAGATTGGCTTCAACGAAAATAAAATGACTGATCTCTCACAACAAACCGCAGATAAATTTCCAGTTGACTTTTTTTTTATTTTAAATTAGGTGCATTAAATGAAAAGCTTGTATTGAACTTCATACCTTGACATTTATACTACCCAATGTGTTATTTAATCCAGAATAAGTAACATTTCTTTTTTGTCTAATGATTGAACGTTAAAATTTTGTTCGCTGTTGTGCGTGAAAATGAAATTTATATGAATTTGCAATTCACATACGTGAAATTCAAATTAGCCAATCAGAATTTCGTATCCAAACACTAATCTTATAGATTTCAATTTCGCCATCGACTATCTTTATGCTAGCATTAGTTTTTTTCACAAATGCTTGAAATACCTCTCTTATAACTTTCGAATTGCTTGGTGGCATGTTAAATAGAGTCAGGACTTTCTATTGATATGGTTTTTATGTCCTGCAATCGCTTCTTGGTAGCTGCAAAATGGTTTATTACATACAACGAAAATAGCTAACTTCCAAATTACTTTGACACATTATAAATTTCACATCTACGAATTTATTTTGTATAATTGTTTATTTTATATTTAGAAATAAAAGGAAATAAAATTATAAATCAGCAATTCTCAACTTTTTCTCTCTTTTAACTACTTGTCATTATTAATTAATTAATTAATTTGCCCCATTAAAATTATATTTCTTAATTTGATAAGCTTTCATTACTTAAATTTATTATAATATTCTACTTGTATGATATGCTAATAGATGTGGTTTGTGAATTTGTTGTGAATTACTATTATTGTTATTATTATTACTACTGTCATCAATATTAACACTCTTAAATTTATTATATGCAAATTGCCAAAGCTCACTACTAGTTGGTCTTTTTGATGGATCCACATCCCAACATTTCTTTATCATTTGTGCATAATAATCAGGCATTTCAGGTAGTATTGGTGGTCGTAAACCTTCTGCACATATACTCAACAATAACCAACGATCATGAACTTTATCATCAAATGGTGGATGTAGTGAAAAGACTCTGTAATTGTAAACTAATATAACCTTCACAGAATCTATATCAGAGTATTTTGTTAATTCACATTCTTTTGGTTTTCCTACTTTATCTCTTGCACTACTTAATTCAAAATAATAAACAAATCTTCTTTAGAAAATTATTTTTCATTTTTCGGAAAGCTACTTGTTTTTGTTGACTAATGAAAAAAAATAATCTTTTGTATTTTCTTCATCAAAATTAACCATTTCATTATTAAACATTTCATAATAAGTTTTAAATACAAATTTTCTTCTTAAATGACATGACATAAAAATGGTTAATTTTCTTTTTCTTTGCGAGAACTGAATAACGTGTAACGAACAATTCTTTTAGTGATACATTTATTAAAATTATCTATTACGATTAACAGTCATTATGGTAATTAAATTATTAATATAAATCTTGAATAAAAATTGCATTATTTAAAAGAACAACTTTAACATCAACAAAAATTCATCATCAAACTTTGGTGATTGATTCATCATGATTCTAATGAAAGAATTTTAGTATTCTTTTTTTTTCTTTATCAAGTTTAAAACTTCAAAATTAAAATCACAAACATCTGTACCCAAACCTGTCCCGCATAATATGTAAGAGTCGTTCTATGTACCAATATTGGCCAGCCTATGTGTGTTTCAAATTCAACGTTAATATTATTGCGTATTGCTATTCAAAGTCAAAATTCAAGTTAACACACAACTCGTATGTGTGTAAAGACAATGTAATAATAAAAGGATAGGTTTAATTTGTAAAAAATATAAGTATTTTTATTTTGAAAGAGAAAATATACGGGAGAAAATTAAATAGTTTCATAATAATTAGTTTAATTAATTTAGTTAAGTGAAATTTCTAAACTTCACATGAAAACTACTCTTCTTGCATCATTGCAATATACAATACAATAAGTGATGATCCCAGGACACACATTTTTACATGATTTGGAACTTTTGATAATCCTTATTTTATCATTATCACTGTTTCTTGCTTGTATCAAGTGTTTTTACTTACGCCAAGGGTTTTAATTAAGTCAAGGGATTTTACTTTGGTCAAATCATCAAAATGGCCCTGGTGAGAAACTACCTTTAGTCAATACTTTAGTTACATCAAAAGTTTTGTCGTACATCAATAAATCAGAATAAGTTCATTACAATTATTATTATTATTATTATTATTATGACATGTGTATTGGTGGTGATTTTGATATGCCATGAATAAGCAGTCTCTTGAATAAGCTATCCTCTCTTCAACTCCCAAAGTAATGAATTCATAAATAAGCGACACACATTTTTTTATCAATGTTTTTTACCCACCGACAAATTTGCGATCTACTTATTCCTCTGCATTTGCAAGTGAGGTATTCTGAGCCAACTCTACAACAAAAGAAAGAACGAACTGTTTTTGATAATACGAAAACATGATAATTGCAAATCTCGAATTCTACGCTGCATTGTAACGTGAGCAAATTCTACCGTGCTGTCTTTTCCAAATAAAGTAAAAGTTTACGATAGCAATGACGACATTCAAATGAAACATTTGTAGTTTACGGTATAGAGTTATCAGACATTTCTAGTGAACAGGATAATGGAAAATTTGTACCGTCATGGAAACAAGAGGTACTTGTTTTTTCTCAATTTTGGTAATGATATTAATTTTTATTATTAAGTCCGTGATAAAAATGGTATATACAAGACGATTGCATGGTGCTTTTAAACGTGGACGGTCAGCTGGTTATTATAAAACAATAGGTCCTAAAGAAGGCAAAACTTAAATAAAGCTGAATTACTAAAATAACAAACATTATTCATTTTTAATAATAATTATTATTATTATCTATATATATAATTAGGTTTGTCGCCCTTCTCTCCAGAAAAAAAGAACAAATTTTAAAACATCTAAACCGGAAGATTTTATGGATGAAGAGGATTTAGAAGTTGTCATTATTATGATTATGGTTATATATTTTTCTAGAGAAAAAACCTCCTTAATTTTATATTAATTCATATAATTCATTTAATTATGCAGGGGCTTTCTCAAGAAAAAAATTGAAAAAATTGATTATTTTGGTTCTACAGAAAAAGAATTAGAAAAAAAGAATTCTATAAAAAAATCAATGGAAGTTGGAGGAAGGTTTATTACAATTAGTTATATAACATCTCATTTTATTTATATACAAATTTATTGCAGACCTAATAGAACCTCTAGGTATATTGAATTTCTCAAAAATAAAGTTGTTATCCCTGTACTGTTAACCTTTTAAATCAATTGAAATATTTAGGCTTACGTCCATTGAAAACGAGAGGAACAGGAAATAGAACCTCATATTATGAATAATAATAAAGATCTTGATATTTATTATTTTATTATGATACTATAAATATCGATAATGATATTTATAAATAAAAATTATTTATCAATTTAAGGTAAACATGGATATTTACACATGTTCTCTTATTACTTATATTAATTATTACATCGTTTATATAATTATTAGGTGGTTTTGATTTTGGTGTTTCATAGGGATAAAGAAGATGAAGTGCATATTAATGGTGCAAACATCCATGTCAAATTTCCATACTTCTGGATGGTTATGAAGATACTTTGATTTTAAGTCAATATCTAAAAGTAAACAAAATACAAATTCTTATAAGGTATCTGCCACCAATCTTGCGGCCGGATTTTGTTCTTTTTCATAAATTGATTAAAGTGCTGAAAAGGATTTAAATCCTGTTATAACTTCTGAAGAATATGCAAAATAACTTGGTCAATTTCCACAAGCCACAAGAAATTTTCGTCTGATGTCCGATATGCTAGCATCACGTTCACTAGCTCGAGTAAATTCTAGTTTAGAATCAGTAATAATAAAAGTGTTGAAAAAAGAATAGAGGATGGAAATGACCTCAAAAAAAGGTAAGAGAATAATAATCAACAACAGACACAACAACAGCAGAGGATGAATATTTTTTGGATCACTTACTCTATCCAAAACAGGATTCTATCCCAATAGACTTTTATGTAAAGATTTAATGTAGCAGATTCACATTTAGATCATTAATAAAAAAAATTATTCAGTTTTCTTCGAATTGTAAATCTAGTCGCCTCATTTATACAGCCAAAATATATTAATATATACTCATCAGCATATACACTAAATCATTCGATAATACGGATTTAGGTTTTATATTTTGACAATATATTGATAATAATTAGATATTAATCATATAGTCAATTAATCACAATAGTGATTTGTTAGTAATAGATTTAGATACCCCTTAATTATGCAATTGATGATTATCTAATCCCCACACTCCATGACTACCTGCCGGTTCAAGCATAAACTCATCGAACCTAAAATCTAAATAACTTGTAATTAATATCTTGTAATTATTGAAATATAATTTCTCTCTTTAAAAAGTCCTAATAAACTTAAACAACACAAACAACACACAAAGTTTGATCCATGTCCACTTCCATGATCAATACACGTATTAAATTAATATGATCCGCGCAGTAAATAAATTCGACCAATAGATTTTTAGTCCGTGAATAAGCAATTATTATTATCATCATCATGAATAAAATTGCTCTGTTTCTCAGAAATTCAAAAATTCAATTAATTAATGTTTTTAATAATTCAATATCAATAATAAAACCGTCCTGCATTATTTTAATTGATCAACTAATATACAAAAAAAAATAGCTAATACACTATTAATATCCGAATTTTGATTATTATGTCTATATACAATCGGTTTAGGTGTAACCATTATTAGTGAAGTTGTGTTTTGGCTAAAATGATAATTTCAATCGTCTGGTAATCCATTTCATTCCTTTTGTTTGATGATGCCGTAAAATTAGAGTAGGTTTTCTCCTTGAATGATCAAATTTAGAGATTGAGACAATTTTTTTTTAAAGTGAGTTATATTTAATCTTATTTTTATAATTATACATCAAAATCAATTAGTAAAGGTGGCTTTTTATAATTTTGGAAGCAAAATAGCTACAGAAAAAGTTAAAAATGGGTTTAATTCCTAGAAACCTTATCTACAATGTAACGACGCCATTTTTTTATTTTTATTTTTTTTTGAGTTTGTATTAGTAGCATCCAAGGTTTATACATTTGCAATACGAAAGTACATTAATGTTTTTAAAATATGGCTCTATTATGTTGTAAAGACGTGTTCTGCGAGCTCAGAACATTTTCAGAATTTAAACAGTTTGTGCAAAAAGTAAATTTATTATCATGATCTTCATTATCAGAACAGTTGATGAAAAAATTCATACAAAATAGAAAAAAACAGATGGTAAGAAATTGACAAAAATTCAAAAAATTGTTATCATCATATTCAATTATCTTTACAATATGTTAAATATGACATTATTATTTTAATGACAATAAATCCTAATCGATTGATTTTTTCATTTTGATTTAATAAAGAGACTTCAAGCTGAAAATAATGAAGGAAAAGTTATAAATTTAATGCAAACAGCAATGTAATATAGAAATTTCTGAATTCGTATGTACAAGTATTTTTTTTTTGTTTTCCTGGTAATATTCATCGTTACTTTCTAAATTTCAGATTGATCTTCTTCACTCGAGGTTTGAATATTAAAAAAATTTGTTATTTTAGAAGTCCCAACTGCAGCATCTCTCAATTTCTTTGCACGCCTTTGCTGTGTTCGTTTTGATTCTTTCAAATAAAACGACCTGCTTTTTATTGGGATAGTATTTCCTTGAAGAACTTTCTTCGCCTTCTCACGTACAAGAACGACACGGTCACCTCTATTCATATTCAAATCGTCACATGATTCGTTGTTATCAGCAGGACTCTGGATGGATTCAGTTTTAACTTTAACTTTGGATTCAACTTTAGGCTCAATTCCAGAACTCGGATGTTCATTTAAATCCATCCCAACGTCACTAGTATTTAAACTTGTATCATGTGTATCTGAGGCAACCATCGAATTTTTTTGTCCAGAACGGTTTTTTCTAGCTTGGGCTAATCTTGAAATCTGTCTACTTCTTTTATTAGGTCTGCCCATCTTTAAAGTAATTAAATTTGTTGATATATATAATCAGGAAAAAGAATTTGGATTTTCAATAATATAGAGTTGGTAGGAAGATAATAATATATATTTGGTAAGTAAATAAATGTTTATTATTAATAATGTTGTAAGTTATTGATCGATTAAAAATATATAATGATGGACTTTGTACGATCTGAAAAAAGAGTACAAACAAACATTGGCTTACATAAGATCCGAAATTTGGGAACCACAAAATATTGATTAAACCATTTTTGTACATCAAGCATTTCCTTTGAATATTGTACTAGAGGTTTTTGTGTATCGGGACAACTTATGCTATTGTAAAATTTTTTTTGCTGTTTCTAACCATCAATTTGGCCAGTCAAGCCTGCAGTCCAATCCTTGAGGTTTTATAATCTACATATAAAAAATTCAATGCATATAAAACGCCTTTCTCGTCAGAAAGTTCATAATATTCACTAATGTTTCGCTTTTTAAACATAATAATGTACGTGATGTACGTGAAGTTTCAAGATCTAAACGATTTCTTAATTCATAAATTGTTACAAAGATAATTTGTCCGTACGGAACTTACACGACTTTGTATATTAATATGTACTCCGCTCGTTACATTCATCTTCAATTGTTGATTTTAATTTTTTATCGTTAGTAATAATTTAGATGTTTATTTCGGATATGAGTTTTCCCAATTACGCTATATGTAACTGCACAAATACGACAGACGCCTCTAAATTTCATATTTCTTGTAAAGCACTCGTCCACTCCTGATAAAGTATTAATGTTACCAGGAATTTTTGATGTTGACGATGTATATAAGAATTGAATTATTGTCAGGAATTTGAATGATTTGGTGAAGCTGATGATGGATTGAAAGGTAAAAGGTAAAATTGTGTAGCATCTTGTAAACCATTATCAGCTCCTTCGCTATTCAACTTGGTGAGTGCTTGTATAAAGCAATAAAAATTAAAGAACGAATAATAAAAATTTTGTGCAACAACTTTTCAGTTTTATTCGTGGTTCAATTCTCGGGTAATAGTAAAAACCGTTATTAGGCGGTTTGAAATCTGTAAATCGAACCGCATTGGTTAAAGTTTAAAAATCACGGTTAATCCCAGTTTGGGTTGTATCGTCCCATCCCCTTATTCAAGGATCACAAATTAATTAAATAAACAATTATTATTTTTAATTAATTAAATGTAACATAATAAACATTTAAGAGAAAAAATTCTTTTCTTCTCCTTAACCTTTTTAACGGCAATCAATAACAAATACACTATTTAATTACGATCGCTTTAGAGAATATAAAGAATTGGATGAATATGAATGAGAGGAAAAAAAATTGATCATATTAAACATTTAAATAATTGATTTAAAAAAGTTCATATCACGTGATTTAATAATGATAAACCTTACACAGCACAAAAAAAGAACCAAATTGTCTCACCAATTTAAAAACAATTTAAACAATTCTTTCTGCCACCACTCTCAACTAAACAATGAAAGACACTCCACTGAAAAAAGTTCTTCAAATATGGTAGGTTGAAATTATGCATGCTTTTATATATCGTTTATAAAAAACAATCTTATTTTTTTTTTTTTTTTAGGATCAAAACATAGAAAAAATAAGTTTCGATACGTTAATCTACAGCAATCAAACTGTAAAGTTTTCATTAACACCAAATAGATTGGCAACAATCGAGGTAATTAATTGTATTCATTTATTATTTTGTTATCATCATCATCATCATCATTGTTGTTGTTATCGTTGTTAAAAACTTGGTATATCTATATTAATTCATTCATTAATTAATTAATTCATTAATTCATTCATTCATTCATTCATTTTTTCTCAATAGACACCACCACCAAAACTTGCTCCTCGTGCACCCGTAACTAGAGATTGGGATATACAAAAATCACATTCTAAAACTCCCAAAGATAATAATGAGTTTGATGTCATAAATGGAAAACGTTCACAAAAAGAAGAAAGTTTATATGATTTCTTGAAAAATACTAGCCCAGAAGATGTTTTTGGCGATCCACATTCACGTAAAATCAAAAACAAAGGGTCAAAAAATGATATCTTATCAAAAAGATACGGTAAACCTTTGGATAAATTGGATCCACTTTCTGAAAAACCTACAAGCCCTACTTCGCTTGGTAATAATCCTCGTTATATTCCTTTAATTCCTTCGGAAAAATCATCACCTGGTTCACCTTTTTCACCATTGTCACCAATATCACCAATATCAACTGCTAATTCATTAAATACAAAACATTCATCGTCATCATTACATCGTATTAAATCTTTGGAACGGATGATTTCTATTAAAAACGATAATGAGAATATTAATAAAAACAGAAATACTCATGCTTTAAATAAATTCCAAAGTGTCGATCATACAGTACCTTCGAAATCAAGAAGGCCTGAACCAATCCATTTGTATGATGATGATGATGATCTTGATGATTTATTAGATGACTCAAGTAAAAGAAGAAAACACCAGGCTCAAGATTTAATAGACTTTTTGAACACAACACCGCCAAGTGAAAAAACTACTTTTCCTGACTCTCTTAAAGATCATCCAGATTCAAATAATACAAGTGGCAAAAAAACCAAGTTAAGAAGATTGTTTTCAAAATTGCGAAATAAGCCATCATCTGGACATTCAAATTCACATCACATTACATCAAATTCAAATAATCCGGCGTTTGTAAGCGCTTCCGCTTTGGTCAATAGACAAAGAGCTAAATATATTAAAATAGAAATTCCACCTCTTCCTGTTAAAGATACTAGCGGACAAACCAGCTTTGATCAGCTTGGTGTTCAAAGTAAATATGTACCTAAAGCGATATCAACAAGTAGTTTACCATACGATCCAAATAATCCAAACAATACAAACACTGGTGATAATTCTCTAGTTAAAGTTTCAACTGCACTTGATAGCAATTATCGAACCGAAAACTCGTACACCAAAACGGATATATCAAACAATAATATCAATTCCAACGCTCCTTCAACTACGCAATCTTTATTAACATCATCATTGTTGGCATCATCATCATCATCGAAAATAACTCACAAAACAAGTTCAAATTCGGTTGTTTCTACTACTTTATCTTCACCGCCATCTTCACTACCAACTTCACCATCAACTTCGCCATCTTCTTCGCCATCATCTTCATTACCATCTTCACTATCATCACCATTATCACCATTTTCATTACCATCGCCATCTTCATTATTATCACCATCTTCATCATCAAAACCATTACCTACACCATTCAATGCCATTAACAACAACAATGTCCTTGATATTTCTAATAATCAAAATACAACAAATTTGAATCCTGTAATTACTTCCTTTAAAACAGACAAACCACTAAACATGCCACAAGAACAAGTTGTCACTCCAAAAAAAGAAAAGGTTTTACCAAATATACAAAAGATTTCTCAAGAGAAGCCAAGACAACAACAACAACAACAACAAATACCAAAATCAAAATTATCATCACTGCTGGCATCGCCACCACCATTACCACTACCACCACTACATCAATTACAACTATCACGATCAAATTCACTCAAAAATTCACGATTAACACAAAACTCTATAAATAAAAAAGAAACCCCGATAAATTTGACTATAACACAATCTCAAGAAAGTAAAACAAAAACTTTACCACTACCACCAACGAATGATAAAGAATCCACCAAAATTACTGAAGCAAAAGAAACTGTCGTTAGATCGATTGTTGGAATAGCAATTGAACCAATCGCCAAACCAACAATTGAACCAATCGCCAAACCAACAATTGAACCAATCGCCAAACCAACAATTGAACCAATCGCCAAACCAACGATTGAACCAAT